TCAAGCCAACCGCCAGGTTCACTCCAGTTCACAAGGACTCGACAGGCTCACACTGCCCACTGGAGCAGCTGGTGCCGGTGACCGCCCCTCTGCCCACGCTCTGCTTCTTCCCCGAGCCCCCCAACCACCTGAGCCGGAGCACCAGGACACTGTTTCTTCCAGAGACTCCCAGCAGGGGGACGCCACCCCGGTGGGATACCCTGCCCAGAATTATCCCCTACCCCTTCTTGTGCCGGACAGCTACCGCTCTGGTAAGAAGCAGGAGGAAAACCTGCTCATGTCCTCGTATCCTGCTGGAGCTCTTCCCTTTGGCCCACTGGGAAAAATGATGGTTCCTAATGGTGGGGATTTGGCTAAGCTGCCATTTTATCCTGACCCTTACCAGCTGCTCTATGGGCCCCAGCTGCTGGCATACCCTTATAACCTTGCGGCTCTTCCTGTGGCTCTGAATATGATGGCACCTGGAGGAGACAAGGTGGAGCCTCTGCCTTTCCTCCCCGCCATCTTCAACTATGCCGCCACTGCTGGACCCTACATGGGCGCAGCCCCTCACCCCCTTGTGGCAAACCCCAGCCTCTACAGCAGCAGCAGTGGCAGCAGCAAGAAGCAACGAGACAGCAGCGGCAGCAAACCGTAGGACACGGAAGCACTATGAGGAATATATTTCAAAGGGGATGGCCTGGCCTGTTTAGGAGGGGAGCGGGAGCATTGCTCACTGGGTCACACTCGCACAGTACCCCTGCCTCTCTTTTATTCAGTAGAGATCAGAGCTAGGCATTAAAACAGGGGAAGGCTGAAAGGAGGAGAAGGAGCAAAGAAACGGGGAGAGAGGCCGATATAATGGTGACGTATCATTACTCCCCTCTCTTTACTCTCGCTCACCTTTCTTCCGTGTCTCTCCTGTCTTGCTGTAGTGTGTCGTAGTTCTAGAGCTTGATTAATCTTCCTCTCTGACTCATTATATTATCTATAAGAATAAGAACTGCTAACAGGGTGTGTTGTGTGAAAAATTAGTTCAGTCTGCTTCCCTTTATAGTCACCGCATAACGAGGATAAACGCTCTTCAGTGAAGGCTTGTGTGGGCAAGGATAAGGGATGAGAAAGAAGAGTCCTTACTCGATGCAGTTAGAGGTGGAGCATTAAGCAACTCAAACCTTTGCGTATGTTTGTGCGAGCGAATGAGAATGCAGGTCTATCCTGTTGTCAAACTGTCCGTGAAAGTTATATATGAGCATGTACATGCACATGTATGTAGGGATTTGTGCATGCAGAGGTGGGCTTAAGCTGCGTATGTGTGAAAGTGTGTGTGTAAAAGTGTGTGTGTGTGTGTGTGTGTGTGTGAATGGCTAGATCATTCCGTGTGAGACGCACACAGCATTCCTACTCTAGTTTGAATAGCTAGCTGTAGGTCAATGTGTAGAAGTGCATTTAGAAGTGATTCCTCATATCCAAATCATTAAGAAGTCAATGCTATGGCTGGACGCATGACAATGACAGATCATCTGAGCTTCTAATGTCTCAACTAACCTGGCGACTTTGTGGCCAGATGACACTGTAGGATCTGTATAGCATTCACCATAGTTTAAACCTTACGTGCACAAAATAGAAAAGTAGTGGTCACTTAAAGGGGACACTTGTAGCTGCTTTGGATATGTAGCTGGCCACTGGGTAAGAGTTAAAAGGCTGGTAGACCGTTGCACTTCCGTTTTTCATCTCATTTCCTTCACGTAAAAAAACAAAAAGGAAAAGAATAAAAACCAATCAGCCTTCATCTTACGTAGCCTTTCCCTCTTTGATTGGAAGAGGAAAAGGCTCCATTTCCGAAGCCAGGAAGAAGAAAGCAATAGCAAGAAATGGAAAAAGAAAAAATGGATTCAGGGTATTGAGTTTCTGGATAGGAAAAGAAATATATGGGCACAAAACTGTTGGACTCTGAGTCAGAAGGCCCCACAGAAATGAAAATGACAAAAAAAAACTGCTTCCCACCTGAGGAGAGATTGGAAATAGCCTGAACTATTTCCCCTCCTGCCCTGTGTCATTTACTAAGAGATAGGAAAAGGCTGAGCTTAGCAGCCAAAGTGGTGGCCCGACACTCCCCAGCTGCCCTCCTGGGGCCTTTTTGTTATGTGTAATGTTATCTCTATATGTTTGTTTTGTTAAACTATGTTGTTGTTTATGTTGTTTAGCCCTCTTACCAGATGGAAATGGCTTCAGTGAAAAAGGGGGAGTAAACTTAAAAATATGAATGTAAATTTAGTCATGAGGTTAATGAAGTACAGCTGCATTAATGGTAGAGTTGGTTTCAGTTCCTTTTTGTTTCTGTTTTGACACAAATAACCTGTTAAAGAACCGTATAACGTCTGGTATGCATATATACAGTAGTCCTAGGAACATGTCAGTAAACTTGGGTTCTGTATCCACAAAGCATGAGCAACACTTGCTTCCTAACCGTTTATATCCTCAGCAAATCTGGCATTGTGCGCACAGCTTTTGTTTCTGTTTCCTTTTATATTTTCTGGCCTCTTCATCTTCCATATCTCTCTTAATATTTCTTTTTTTTATTATTCGTTATAGACCGCAGTTTTGGAAATATTCCACAAAACTAGCTGCCACATTTACATCTCACAGTCACTATTTAGGAGCTGTTTTTAATTCTCCCTCTTCCCTCATGCATACACACTCGCACACTGCACCTCCTCCGAACGGAGTATATGTTTCAGCGTGTGTGTGCATGTGTGTGATGGTACCGGGCAGGAGTGTGTTAAACACAGCATGACTAACTGCAGGGGCCCACAATCATCCTCCTTGGGTGTGGCCTTTTGAATAGGCCGTATGTGTCTTGTGTACGAGACGTGAGACGTGAGTGACCGGGTTGAATAAGGAAACCAAAATACTGTAAATCTGCCGAAGCAGCATACCCCATGGCGGTATATGGGCCACCTGTTTTTTTTTTTGTTTTTTTTTGTTCTTTGACACTTTTTTCTGTGGGTTAGTTTCAGTGTAAAAAAGCCTTGCTGTCTCCAATACTCTCTCTCAAGCCATTCCTGTAGATGGACATGTTTGTGTTTTTGGACCATTTCTTATGCCATAGTTTGCCATCACGGTTATCATACAGACCAAAAGCATGCAAATCAACGTATTGTAGTGACTGGACTGGAATCTGGTGGTAATATACAACTATTTACTGTATGTTTTAGTTTAAATGAATGTGCCTCTGCTTTGATATTTAAATAATTATCTATAGTAAGATGTGGATCTGCCAGATTTCAACTGTTAAGGTGCCTTGTTATGGCATAAGAAATTTGAATAGTAAATGAACATTTTCTTGAGAAACGACAGTATAATTTGGAGATAGATTTCATGGCTTTGTTTGCTATGAAGCTGTTCATAGATGTAGGGGTGTGGCTAAACTGTTTTGGTATCGTGTACATGTCTAGGGTAATACTGTGCCATATAGAGCCCATGAAATATGTTAATGTTATTTTTAAAAGATGTTTTAATGTTGCCTGATGACTTTGTCTTTAGATTTGATACAAAGGCTTGTAGCCACAGCTCTCCCAAAGTCTGTAGTCTCCTTTTTCCGACATTCTTCTTGTTCTCTCTCTCTCTCTCTCTCTCTTTCTCTCTCTCTCTCTCCCCTTGTTTCCGTCTCCCTTTCTTTCTCTTTGCTGCAATCAAACAAAATAAAGTATTAACCTGATGACCCAATGAAATCAGCTCTAGTCTGGTCTCATGTTTTTTAAGATGATGTCTCTATTCATCTTTACAAGTTGATCTTGAGTTCTTAATGTGAACCATGTGCTTAAAGTTGGCGGATGCCTGGTTCCACATTGCTCGATCTTCCCTGTGAATTCTCTGGTGAAATGTGCATTCAGCATTTATCGAAATTGGTAAAAATTAATCCTTTGCACTTCTTTTAAACACATGGTCCGTTGTTTGATACTGATACTAAGGCGCGGTGCTCTCTTGTTGATGATACATTTTTTCACTATTTTAAATTACTGAATAAGTCTACCTCAATGGATCTTTTTCACTGTGGACATTCTGACTTTTCAATGTAGAAAAAGTGTTATTATTTTTTGAAATCTTGCTTTTTACTGTTTCCCTAAAAAAATGTTAACAACTTAAACCACAACAAACTATTTACAAACAAGGAAGAAAGAAAATAAAATTAAAATGAATTCATGCAACTGATTCCCAACATCTATTTACATCCCCATGATCTCACATTAACTTGTGTAGATACTTGTTACGGACTAGGTCTATGAGGGTAAGTGTAAGTGTGGCTGGCTAGTCCTACGTGGAGAAGAACAAAACAAGTGACTCAAGATCTGGAAGACCGCCGGGGAGTGAGTGAATTAGCTTACAGAGTCCGCAGGTTAAGTTGTTGGGTTCGTCACCAGAGTTGGTCTCCGCTGCCGTGAGAACGCAGCTCCGTCATGAGGCTTCAGTAGTTTCCCAAGAGTGAATCAGCTAAGAAAATGTGAGAACTGAGGAGTGGTACTTCCAGAGCGACCCCGTTGTTGGCTGTTTGACCACGCAGTATCCTTCAGCTGTTGCGCTTATGCTCGCCTGAGCTTCATCACTTCCTTATAACGGCAGTGGAGGCACGCGCATCTCAGTGATGTAGTCTCTTCACCACAAAAACCACACCTGCCCCATATAAAAAAAACAGTCCAAAAAGTAGGAAAAGAAGAACTCTACCGGCCTCATCATTCTTATCATACTGTGTACATCGTAGGGGATGAATTATGAGTTTGATGTTTGATCTTCACTGTGCAGAATGACACTGGAAGGATGTTTGGGGCGGCAGTAGCTCAGTGTGTAGGCGCTTGGGAACCGGAGGGTCGCTGGTTCAAGTCCAACAGACCACAAAATATGGAGTGTGGA